TTTCTACCGTAATCCTACAGTAAGAATGAGAGATCTCTATCGATCCGTTCTACACTGTAAATCTAATTTGAACCTCGCTCTACAAAATGGTATCTAAAGCTTCTCGAGTCACTTCACCACAAAAGAGTTATTTACAATCAAACAGTGTGCACATTTTTTTGGGACACCCTGTATTTGTCTTCGATTTTTTTAAAATTCAAATTGACTTTGTGAAAAGAATTTTTGAGCGGAGTAGCAGCGCCATGCTTCTTCTTTCAAAAATTAACATTGTATCAGATTTTTCTTTTCTCCTCCAAAAATCTCGGGCCGCCTCTAGGTCCTAAGTGAATGTGTTTCGAAAAATTGCACTTTTAGGAAAGTGGGATGATACAATGCGATACTTGGTAATAGGAGTCACAGTCAGGGCTTAGCAGAGGTGGCGCTTTCACAGGCTGGATGTCGTTTTTCTCAGAGAAGAGCAAAAGGGGACTCGTAATGTTTTTAGGGATGGTTCTCAGAAATCTGATACAATGTTAGCAAGCACAAAGCTAACCCTCTAAGCCCTTATTTCAATTCCGACGTCGTTTCACTAGTAACAGGTAGATTAACACGTTACAAACATGACAAGCACTTAGACCTGTTTGCACGCAATTTCAACATGTTAAAACACAATTTTTATGCACAAATAAATAAATTATCAGTCCGTTTACAACCGTAAGCAATGTTGAGCCACCAAATCTGGTGTGTATCTCCGCGGCAACGATCAAAAGGAAAGCATGAAAAATTATGAAAAAATTATGTGAATGAAAAGAACTGTAAATGTTTTTCTAATTTAGGTTGCTCCCGCGCAGCCAGGAGCACCCTGAGGTTGCACGAAACCAAACAAAGTCATAATTCTCTGCCTTCTTCACGTGATTTTCCAAAATTGTTCACATAATTCTAATATTCAATTTGAACTCTACCTAGGGATACTTACCTTAACCCAAATTTCGTCTCTTCCGCTTTGCTAGGGTCCTTGAATGATGTGAAAACCGCCTTTTTTCACATGTTGTTGTTTTATCTCTGATTTTCCTTGCCTATTCTTAACTTCCATTTACTAATCTCGCTGTAGATTATTAGCAGTGCTTTTACAAATACCACAAAAGGTATTTCGGAGTCTTTTGCAATGTCACCGCGTTTTCAAAGTTCTCAAATGCCACCTCCTGCTGGGCCCTGGTCACATTAGTTAAGTTGATACCAACGCTTGAGCAATGTATTTGACCAGTGTTTTTGCGATTATAGAAAATCTTTGTAAAAACATTGAATCTGTAGATTTAAAATTTGTTTGACTTGATCTTATGCATAAGAATATGAAATAAATTATTGCAAGTTGAAAATGCTGTCCTCCAAAGTGTAGTTAATTGCTTTCTCTCGGAGTTCTAGAACAAATAATACACACATGCGGCCCTAGCAACTGCTAGAAGAACTAATAATTAGTCTGCAATCGACGCGCTACTAAAGAACACTATCGAAAACCAATGGATGTCCTATAAACAAGCTTGGAGGATCCCAGTTCTTGCGGAACTCTTCTGCCCCACGTTCCTCTCGCAACTGTCAACTATGCGACATTGAAGCGAGCAAACAACAGACTAGTTCCTCTGGAGATGCTCTGCGCCTAAGAACTGAATTTCCGGCAAATCTTTCTTGTAATAAATCAATTTTCAAAATTTTTTGACGACGAAGAATATGTTGCGAATTGCTAGTCTGTGAAAGATGAGATGGGAACAAAGAAGACTATTGGAATAGAAAATGCATAGTCAATAAGAATTGAAAATGATATCCAAATGAGGGAAGGAAGAATACGAAGCGATATTGAGTATAGAATACAATTGACTAGACAGATGATGCATTGAAATTTAGAGTTTGAAGTTTAAAAATAAATCGTAGTTGTTTATCTCTAAATCTATTAGGCTGACCAAAAACTATGCATTAGTAGTTCGTAAAAAAGCTGCAATGAATTTTTGCTCCGTTCTATCTTTATTTTGAAGGGAATACACTTTCTGCAAGCAAAAACGATTTTCCAGGGAAAGAGAGCAAAAAAAGATTTTCGTGGCCGCAAGTGCGAAGAGAATTCTCACTTCCAACCATGGGAATTCAAAATCGCACATTAGCTTTAATGGTTTATGCTGCTTACAGAATCACTAAAACCTTTGAACCAAGAATTTGCCCCTCCCCCCACCCCCCTCAAGTATTTTGAGCTGTCGAAACCCTGGTAAACTATAAATCACGTTGGTCCATAAGTTTGCAGCAAAATTTTTTGACAATTTTTTTTTCAGTCCCAACGGATTCGTTTGAAAAATAGAGCTTAGAAAGAGAAAGTTGAGTGTGCTCCAAGCAAGAAGATACAGTGATAAGCAGAAACGCAAACGTAATGTAAGTCAAATCGCAATTTTTTAATCCGCAGTTGGCAAAAACGCTAGAAAGTGCAACAAATTCAAAAATCACTTTTAGTTGTGGTTTTACGGTTTTATAATTCGTTTAGTGAGGGAACTTGACGCTGATCGGATGAATTCAAGAAAAGCTCTGATTTTCGAGTTTTTGATCGATATTAAATTTTGTTTTCATAATCTTGTTCCTCTAATACGCATAACAAATTACTAAATTTATCATAAGTTGTAAAAAGTATACGGTATAAATTGAAACATCTTGCTAAATCTTTTGAAAACGAATTTTTGTATTTCTACTGCAGGACTTATGATCCAACTTAACTTTTTTTCTGGAAACGGATGAGCGGGATCAAGGCTCGGCACAGGTGGCTTGTAAGCAAGCTGAATATCATTTTGGGAAAAAAGCAAAGGGGGTACCTTTTTGAAGTCGAAAAGACACAAGAATTGTGAAGTTTTTTAGTCGATGTTTCGTTTTCGCGCGTTTTCTTACGTCCAGGGTTTAGGGTCAGAGGGGACTTCAAAAATTCGTGAAAGTCAAGGAGAACTTCGTTTTTTGTCTTTTTCGAAACCCACCTCGTGTCGAGTTCTGATTTTGATACCTTCTCGCTGTTGTTGCTGTTGATCTCAAGAAATTACAATTTTTCAAATTTGAATACATCGACGCAATTTCAGGACACATGGCGTTCGTCGAAATTGACATCCCTACGCGTTCTCCGGTGTTATTTCGTTTTCACCAGAACGCTCAACGCCCCCGCTCAAACATATGTCGAGTCGGAAAGCGGGGCTTCTGCCGCACTTGCTCAGTTTCGAGTGAACTCGGCAAGCTCATGAGTTTATTTTCAGTTCTAGTTACCCGACTACTTGGCCGAGACGCCGAAGTATCCATCTTTTTGTCAAAATTTATATTTCGCAACTGAATGAAAAGTACACGGGGGGGACTAGTCAAGATGCTGCAACAGCGGGGCCGCATTGTAATACACAGCAGCACAGGCGGACAAGAACGAGACGGCATTGATTGAGTTGATAGTGGGAATAAAGTGGGAACAGAGGAATAAATAGTAACATGGAAACAGAGAAAGATTTGAGAGAAATAAGACATCCAGATAAAAGAGCTACTTACCTTGTTGACGGGTATGACCATAAACGGACCACCGGCACCTTTGGTGATAAAGGCAACAAATTTTGGATTGACTGAGCAGAACAACGAATCCCATGTGACTTCGCTTACCTAAAATGTGTTAAATTGATTCGCAGAATTTTTTCTCATTAACTGACCTTGGCGCTAGCATGACCATTTTCTACGATTTGAATGGTCTTTTTGCAAATCTTTTCGATAATTTTTTAACCCTTCAATAAATGATCTTTTTGCACACTCAGCTCAAAGGGTGGTAACTTTGTAGCTGTAGCTCGAACAGAATTTCAAAATTTGCTTTTTTAAGCTCATTTTCTTGAAGCTTAAATTCCAGATAGACTAAAGCAAAAATGAAATCCAGATAGACTTAGGCACAAAAAATTGGATTATACATAGAGCTGAGAAAATCGGATTTGAAGGGGCTGGAAAATCACTGCGAATCGGATTTCAAAGAGATTCAATGGCTTAGCAAATCAGAAATTATGACGCTTTAGCTCGTTTGTTTTATGGTGCCAGGCTTAAAAGAAAAGATGAGCTTTACTTCGTTCGTTTAATGTGTGAGGGAAAGGGCCCAAATGAAAATGCGCAATTTTTTGGTGCAGACTTTATATGCTTGAAGTTTTATTGTTTAGTTGTTTGAAGTAATTGGAATCGAGCAAATCTGACTGATACAAAGTTGTAGTTGATTCATAAACATTTGTAGAGTTTTAGAAGCAGATGCGGATTCAAATTATTGAAGGTAGGACAATGAACCAATAATTTCGACAATAAAACAGGCCAAAAAATTCTAGCATAATAATTTTTTGAATCTACTCTCCAGCAATAAAAGATCCAATTTCGTTTTTTTGACTTACTCGTATATCCGACATACACTGCTCATGCTTCACCGGTTTGCAGAAAACATGACGAAATTTGCTTTGGCGTACAATCGAAGCCATGGCGACGCTTCAGTCCAGTCGAGCCTATGCTTCGACTTTGCTCTTCTTTAGGCACTAAATCACCTAATAAATTCTCTTAAATGAATAAATTGCCTGTTTCACAGGTAGAATCGCTTGAGAAAGTGAGTTGGAAGAAGAGCAAAGGAAAATGATATCGACGAGACTGGATATCCCCCGCACCTCCGGAGCGCCACGCCTCCTCAGGGCCATCTCCTCTCACTCTCACCCCGCTCTCAGCTTCGCGATTGCAGCTAAATATACAAATAAAACCTGGCTCCTGCTGCCGGTGACGTTCGGCGAAAATACGCCACGCCTTTGTTACTTTGCGGTACAGAAAATCATGGATTTCATTTGAAATAGTCAGAAAGAAATGTTTCATAGCTGGGAACAAACGCAGTAGATCATATGCTCATCGTACAAAATCCGGAAGCTAGATGCTAACACTTGAGAATCTAAAGCGCTCAAAATTCTGGATAAGAGAATTTTCTAGCAAGCTTGAGAGCTTTCCTGAAATCCACTAAAACCACTGCTAAAAACTATGGTCTAGAAAAATCCTAAGAGAGCACAAAAAAAGAACTTGGAGTACCCTAAAGTATTTCGATCAATCCCCCTGGGTATAATCTTCTGCACACTTGAGTATAGGTTCATTTCAAAATCTTTTGTTAGCGGGAAGGCAAAGAACATACGGCTTGCAATACTCTGGCACAGAGACAGAGCATATAACAAGAATGTTTACTCAAGCTGACGGGGAACTCTTTGTGAAACTAGGTGTTCAGGACGAGATGTTTAGATCGTTCCATAAGCTCGTAGCGTTTTTTTTGTCCTCTTCTTCTGAAAGGAAGTTGTTCTGCGGCAAGATGAGCATATCGTTGAAAAGAGTTGATCATGCTCTTTACAAGCAACATATTGGTTGCGACGGAAAGCTGACCCGATTCGATTTCTTAGTTTCCAAATGTGTAATTTTCACAAGACAAAAAGAACATTTACGACATCTGCTTTTCTCACAATAAAATGTTTTGCATAGATTATTGTGCCGAGTATAAAAAATGGCGCTTTCCCGTCGATTAGACAAAAAAGGATGAGATTGTTCTAAAGATCAGGAATTTGCTGGGCATCCCCTGAACAAGACTTTTTGCAGGACGGGCGGAGGTTCTGCACTGAAAATTGCTAGACAAGAACAGAACGGTCGATCATACCCGGCGCAACCCAATCACACCGTTTAAACGATTTCCTACTGCAAAAACGTCTCAAAAGACAGGTCTAGTGGATTTTTCTGCACGACAAAGTATGGCTCCACATGGCAAACATCCTTAAAACCATCTTGCAAGACTTGACTGGGAGACATATTAGTATCCGATATACTCCTCAGATCTAGCCCCACCAGATAATCTTTTGTACCGCTCCATTGCAAACCGTTGAACGGTGCTTGTTTCGATTCTAAAGACTATCTCCGAGGCGTTAGTTAGACGACTTTTTAACGATTCTGACAGCAAGGGAGTAGAAGTTTGCGCGCAGCAGCCGAAACTATTAGGTCGTTCCATAAGTTCGTAGCATTTTCCTTCTCGTCCCCATTTTGAGGAGAGGTTGATTTGCAGCAAGGAGCGTACATCATTTGGAAGGGCTGATTGTGCTCTTTGAAATACGTCTACTGATTCCGGTGAGAAGCTGATTCACTCGGACCTCGCAGCTTCTAAAGATGGAAATCTTGAAAGGCAAAAAGGACCATTTTCGGCATTTGCGCATTTTTCCTTATAAAAAGAAGCGCTCTTCCACCAAATTTTGTGTCGATTATGGAACATGGAGCTCGCACATCAATATGAGGCAAAAAAGGATTGAATTGCTACAAAAGATCAGGGGCTGTGCAGGGTGTCCCTGAACAAGACTTTTCAGGGGACCGGCAGGACGTTCTGCACTGAAAATTTCTGTACAGGTAGGCGATGGTCAACCATACCGCAAGCAATCCTGCACCGTCTAGACCAGGTCCTAGCGCAGAAAAAGGCTAACAGATAGATTCGTTTTGTTTTTTCGTTTTTTTTTCGTTTTCGTTAGGCAGTTTTTCTGCATGACGAAATGTGGCGTCATACGGCAAACGTAAAACTGTCCTCCACGGTTTGACAAGAAAGTACTTCAGTACCCAAAGTACTCTCCAAACCTCACTCTATCAGATTATCATTTGCTCCACTCTCTGGCAAACCTCATGAATGTTGCATGTCTCGAATTTAGTAGCAGTTTGAGCGCTGGGTTGGATGACTTTCTTGCGGCCCGGTGCGCCGCCGTTTGAAAAATTGAGGTTTAAAAGCTAACAAGAATGTGCCAAAAGGTCGTGCGCTACAAAAGGATATTTTTGACTGATTTTTACTGTAAATTGATGATTTTGTTGGTTTATAAAGACGCTACGAACTTGTGGAACGACCTAATACATTAACGACTGTATTTTGACAAAACTTTGTCATTTCGTTGGTTTATGAAAACGCTACAAACTCATGGAACGACCATTCATCTGTGATTGAAATGTTTTGATACTAATGTCATGATCAGATGACATTGCAATTCGCGAGTTCCTTCCAGAAGGGTCAAGCGAAGGTCAGACATGTATTTTTGAAAAAAAGACCCCCGCACTTCGCACACCTATCTGTATTACCCTTCTTCGTACGGTCCTCCTTGAGAACCTTATAGCGTCAAAGGCTGGAAAAAACCAGCATATTTTGAAGAGAACCCTACTTTTCGAGTTTTTACGGCCACATTTGTGCGACTATACATAATCATACATCACAAAATACCTGGGTCAGTGTCGAAGCTGTACAAGGCTTTTAAGAGGGGCCCCTGGCATACTACATGATCTCAGTCGCCACATGATTTTGCAACACTTAATCGTTTGTAACTCATCGTAAGCACAAACTGAATGTAGAAAGATAGGGCATTCAATTGAACTACAAAAGCTAAACACGCTACGTAGTCGTGGTCTGCCAGTGTTGGGTTTAAAAATATCTGGCAAAGACAGATCGCTCGGGAAGTGAATTCGCATAAAAAAATGCATGGGGCTTAAATGGTCTCACGCCTTTAAGAAACCACAATCTTTCCGTGAGTGAAGGACTTGGGTCCTACTACGGCAAAAGAGGGTCAAAACCTACTACTTATGAAATGGTATAATCTATCCTCACCGAAAGCTACTTAATTGGGTCCGCCCAAAGCTACAAAAATTAGAGCAGCCTGACCCTATGAAGGATTGTGTTTGACTCTATTGACTATACCGTAGAAAGTTTTTTCTGGTGAGTCTGATGTCATTTTCACCATGTCGTAAACTCTACACTGTGAGTTTCAGGTTTCTTCGCGCTGCAGATATACACTAGTTTATGGATAGCAGCACTCAAAGTGCAAAACGTAATGGTGGGAATTTCGGCACTTGTGAATCCAGTATTTGAAAGCGATGCAAAGCCGAATTTTTAGCTGTTCAAAAAGCACTTTGTTACTTGCAAAAAACTTCCATTTTTAGAACAAAGTTAATCATGGGTGAAAATGACACCTTCCACTCATCGCTTCTTTTTTAGTATACCAAGATAATCATATGCTTACAGTTAGATACTTACGATTAGATTCCTGGTCACGTGCCGTGTAGGCGCACAGATCAGGGTTTGCCAGCACGAGGCTGGCAAATGGACATCGGTGAAACAACTTCGTCTTTGCCACTAACGGTTTAACGATTTCCCACTTGATCTCGCCAACTCGTATGTTATTCGATTGAAGCGCGTTCTTTCTTAAAGGCAGTGTCCGGGCAAGAACTCGATATTGAGATTTTGTGCTTACTTGGGCCTATTCGCTACGCTGAATCCGAAAATGCACATTGTAGAGCGCGAAAATGGCGAAAAACGGCTCTAACACAGGAGGGAAATGAGCAGGTGGGCGGGGTCCTCCCAACTGCGAATTCACGTTCCCGACATTCGGAGCGACCTTCTCGCTTCCGGTTTCAAGTCAATCATTCGCACTTGGCCGGTAGCGATGTTAGGACTGTTAGCGGAATCGAGAAAATCGCTCCGGGAGCTGGGAGCGTGAAATCGCACTGGGGCAAGCCCCGCCCACCTGCTGATTCCCCTCCTGTGTTAGAGCCCTTTTTCGCCGTTTTCGCGCTTTCCAATGTGGATTTTCGGATTCAGCATGGGGAATAGGCCCGTATAAGCACAAAATCTCAAAATCGAGTTTCTGCCCGGACACTGCCTTTAAAAGAAACGGCGTCGTTGCTATCCCGGATCCTATCACAAGGAGGAGAGGCGAAGTTTTAAAACCAAAATGTTACTATCTATTAAGCTTTAGGTGTAGAACAGAATTATGTAGACATGTTCAAAAACTTATATGAGATCGAAGTTTTGCCTACCTCAGGTGGGCATTAGGTCGGCAACTGCTCTATTTGGAATAAAGCACCTCTTTATTCACATAAGTTTTTCATAAATTTTCATACTTTGTTCGTAGTCCAACTGCGCGTAACGCACCAAATTTCGTGCCACTCGTCACTTGTGTGTTGCAAGCAAGCCATTTTCTGAATTTGTGATAGTGGAAATGTTAAGAAAAAACGCTACAACCTTCAGCTAAATATCATCAATTGCTTGGCGTACGTTGGGCGGAGCACTTGCAGACATTTGAGCACATTGGTAAACTTGTCAAACCTCTACTGCAATGCATGGTTTTTCATACTCTCTAAACTGCCTCAACACGCTTATATGTTATTGTCAAACGGCATTTTTAATAGCGAGAGATAACGAAAAACAATGCTTTACACTAGAGGGCTAACAAGTTCACTAACGTGTTCAGATGTCTTCAAATGCTCCGCCCAACGTACACCAAGAAGCCAATTTTTCCGCAAAACTCTGCACTATGCTCCTCTTAGTCCATGTTTGTTACACTCCAAATTTTCAGTCATATCGTAACGTGTGTACTGTAACAGCGACATTTCGCAATAAATGGAAAAAAACTTTCTTGAAGATGACGCGCGAGCAAGATCGTGTTTTTGCATATCGCTCGTGTGGCAACTTGTCGAACAGACTGTATGTACATGTGGACGTATATTTACGGTATCCCCTTTGCTTTCCATCCAAAACGATTTCTAGCTTGATATTTGCCCATCTCGTGCCGGGCGCTGGCACGGATAATGCCATTCGCTGTTGTCCTGTGCTTCCCATAACCACAGTTTTGGTAGTTGGATCCGCAAATTCCACTCTCCGTGCAGGAGTCTCACTCAGCAAAATTTTGGGCTGGTCTCCATCCGTTTCACGAGAACTTCTGCCCATCCCGATAGTAGCCTTCTTCGAAAGCGTTCTGCTTTGCGAAGAATCCCATCCGATGTTCTTGGTGTCCAATGTCCTGTGTTCTTCTCATGATTCATCGGAATCTCGGTTTTGCAAGTTACTTCCTGGATGCAGGTTAGATCCTGGATAAACAAGATGTGCTTGTGTCTGGTAATCTAACTGGAATACTGTACCCAACCGCGGTGGTCCATAAAACTTTCGGCGTGGTTGCAGTATCGGTCCAGGTCTCGAATGCATAACAGAGTGCCAGGAGAACGGTTGGGTCAAACATACAGGTTCAGGGTCAGTAAGTTGGTCTGGCTTCCTCCAGAGGTCCGAAGGCGAACCAGGCAGCTCTTCTTCTCCTACTTTCTCAAGTCGTTCTCCATGTTCATGGTAGGTTGATAAACATTAGAAGACGACTTCGTGTGAAGGTGCCTTCCTCCATCCGCTCATCGCGTTCTCCATGAACTGAGTTTTCTTTCGACTCGATCGCACCCGATCTTTCTCCTACTTTGTCTAGTCGTTTTCTCACGTCTCTGCTCCAGTGATACTGCTCCAAAAAAGAACAATGTCGTCCGCAAAACAAAGGTTTGAGAGGAATCTTCCATAAACTTGTATGCAATTTCAATTTCCATTTACTTTCTTCATCGTTCACAGTCAGGCCGCGGTGAACGGCTTTGATGATGATATCACACAGTCAAACCCCCTTCCCAAATAGGATGGACAAGAGGCTTAGGAGTTGCATTGCATCGTTAATTTACAATCCTTGTAGTATCCGTCAATGTCCTCAAATAAGCTGGGTCCACTCCTTGGTCGACTATCGCTGACGGATGGCGTATGCTTCGAAGCGCCAATGACTTTCTCGCAGTTGACGGTTGGAACGAGAGGCAGGCGGTACTCCCGAGTATGTGGCTCTCGAGGGTCTGTATGCGTTCCATACAGCTGGATTGCTTGCGAAAGCCAGTTGGTTTTGAAAGGAGGAGGCTTTATTTGAGAAATACTTTCAAAGCACACTCAGCAGGCACGTTAGGTAGGCGCCAGATAAGCGACTATTTTGTCCAGCTGCAGAAGGCGTGCAGAATACGTTAATTCTGCGCGCCTTCTGCAGCTGAACAAAATAGTCGCTTAGTCTAGCATTTACCTTAGGCGGCAATTTCAGAGATCCTTTCTTTTCCCCTCTCTATAGAGGAGATTTTGAGGTTCTGAAGGTAAGATGTTTTTGCCGCGGATTTAGTAATTAGGTGGTGTCCTCCGGCTCGCAGAAGCTCGGTAGAGAGGTGCTCCGATAAAAAAGGCCGTGTACGTTTTCATTTCTGGACCGCGTGGAGCATTATAGCAGATACAACTCGTATTCTTCTTCTTCACTAAGCGGAGGTGGTTGGTATAGATTTCGTTCCGCATTCAATTGCATTGAAAAGAAGTCAGGGTTCTGTTTGATTTACTTTCCTGTGTAAATTCTGCTGAGTTTTGTAAAAAAACAATAAATACAATCAACGTTTCCGAAACTCTGAAGATTTGAAGATTTGAGGAGTCAACGTTTAGGCCCGTATGCACGTACATCCCCGCGGGGGGGGGGGGAGGGATCTGAGAGGGGAAGCGTCATATCTCGCTAGTCTATGTATCTTTCTTCTTCTTTCTCTGTCTTGGTTTTGAAGGTTCTCATATACTGATACTTGCGCATAACAGATGTCAGATTACTGCCATACAAGATTAGATATTCACTATTTCGTCTGATCCCCTGGGGATCCCCAGGGGATCACCTCACATTTTCAAAGCTATTTATCTTCCTAAAAACTCGATAAAAATGCTCTAAAATTGTACTTGGATATACTACAGCAGTGCTAAACATGTTTATGGTAGAAATGAGTGAAATCTCAAAATATCAAAATCTTCGATGAACCGCTGCTCGCGGGCCAGGGATTATCGAAAAAATTAAAATCTTCAGATTCCATTTCTTCTGTCGAAAACATGCTCAGCAGTATCGTAGTTATCTTCAGTACAGTTTTGCAGCGTTTTCATTGATTTTTCAGGAAGATAAATGACTTTGAAAATGTGAGATGATCCCCTGAGGATCGCCAGGGGATCGGAAGAAATAATGAATATTTAATCTTGTATAGCAGTAACCTGGCATCCATTATGCGCAGGTATAAGGGTATGGGAAATTTTATAAGCACGATAGAGAAGAAAGAAGAAAGAGATCTAGAGCAGCGAGATATGGTGCCTCCCCTCTCAGATCCCCTCCCCTCCCCGCGGGGATGTACGCGCATACGGGCCTTACAAGGGAAGTTCGCCGAATCAAAATGGCCGATTGATACGTGGTATATACCCGGACGTGGGGCTCGGAAGGTTAGTATCAAATGTGCGCCCATTAGCTGCGACGCGTTATTGTGAAGCAAGTTATGGCCCTCTGAAGTTTTTGGCGTGTGCATGTCTAGAGAACGCACAAACGCTCCGATTGTGGTCGTGTGGTGTAGTGGTTAACGTCTCGGGCTCACAAGTGACCGGTGAGAGTTCGAATCCTGTTGCTGTCCACATGTTTTGCGTTCTTCTCAAAAATCATTTTTTACCTGTTTTATGTATTATTGAGGTAAAAAATGACACACACGGGTTACGGAATGATTTTTCTCACGAAAATTTGACCAATGCTTCATATGTAAAAATTTCGTAGAACATAGCAACGACTTTTTAGCGACGGCTTTTCAATTGACTTTGAAGGTTTGCCAAATCCTCACTCCCACATACCGTCTGCGCCCCAGAGAGGTTCCCATGTGAACCAGCGTGCGTACGTGGTGCGACGATGCCTTTCGCTCTTTTTGACATGTTTCTCCTGAGATTTCAACGGAAGTGCCTGAGGTTAACACGTTCAAAAGTGCGAAAGGCAGCGAGATGACGTGGTGCCTATGGGAACCTCTCTGGGGCGCAGACGATACTTTCTTCGATTGCACGTAGTATTTACTTGACAATCTCCAAGTTGTATCACGCCGTACTATTGATTCTTGTTAATGGGCTACCTTGTGAGAATGACACGGCAGGATGTATAATTAGTAGAGCTTAACCACCCGTATGTGTCATATTTTACGTCAGTAATGCATAAAACAGGTAAATAATGAATTTTGAGAAGAACGCAAAACATGTGGACAGCAACAGGATTCGAACCCTCACCGGTTACCTGTGAATCCGAGACGCTAACCACTACACCACAGGACCACAATCATAGCATTTGTGCGTACTTTAGACATGCACACATGCCAAAAACTTCGTAGGGCCATAACTTGCTTCACAATAACGCGTCGCAGCTAATGGGCGCACATTTGATACTAACCTCCCGAGCCCCGCGTCCGGGTGTATACCACGTATCAATCGGCCATTTCGATTCGGCGAACTTCCCTTGTTAGAGTCTTAGGGCCGCATGCACTAACATCCCCGCGGGGAGGGGATCGCAGCTTAAAAGAAAGCTTTATATTTCGAAACTCCAGATACCTGGATTTCACGTTGTCTACCTATCCGTAGGTGTTCCTACTACCCTTCACTATGAACATGTTGAAGAGGAGCGAGAAGCTGGTTGAACCGCATTTTTCAGCTTTTGTATAATCCCTGATGATCCCCGAGGCTTTTCTTTAAAGTCTTTTTTCTTTCTCCGAAGTTAACGAAAAACCTCCAAAGTTGTGCATACATATTATCCAACCCGACAGTGCTAAGCATGTTCGTGATAAGAACAAAGGATGTTTTGCAGTCATGAAATTTTCGATGGTACACAGGTCGAAATTTGAGGTTTACCAAAAAATTCGACTTTTCAAAAACTCATTTGTTCTCATCAGCAACATGCTTAGCACTGTTGTGTTAGATGTTCAGTACAGCTTTGGAAAGTTTTCGTTGACTTCGGAGAAAGAAAAATGACTTTATAGAAAAGCGCCGGGGATCATCAGGGATCATACAAAAGCTGGAAAATGCGGTTCGTACAGCTTCTCACTCCTCTTCAACATGTTCATAGTGAAGGATAGTAGGAATACTTACGGATAGGTACACAACGTGAAATCCAGGTATCTGGAGTTTCGAAATATAAAGCTTTCTTTTAAGCTGCGATCCCCTCCCCAGCGGGGAGGTTAGTGCATGCGGCCCTTAATTTGCTGAGGGTTGTGGTGACACATGGTCTAACTACTCTCTTTGCATGGAATAGTTGTTTAGGATGTCGAAGATTAGTAAAATCTCTTCCTTGACGTCCCCCTCCCAGTTCGCCAGGTCTCTGGCAAATTCGTCCGGTTAAGATGGTCATACAGGCAGGTGCTTTCACTCTTCCGCGTCCGGGTGTGAAAAAAGGATCTCGACGCCCATCGCTCACCTTCCAGAAAAGAAAAGCGTCCTGCTCAGTCTAGCGAAGGAACAGTTTCAATCGGATCAAATTGTACGTTGTGTTGTTCTTTTTTTTGGCGCACCTTGCATGTGCATCTTATATATAAAGCTGAATGTCTGTTTGTCTGTCTGTCTGTCTGTATGTCTGTCTGTACGTATGTTCCGAATAGAAAATTCTATTTCTGAACCGATCCGGACCAAACTTGGTACACATAATATCTGCTCCAAGACGAAGGCGGTCGCCCAAATAGGTTGAAAGCATGAAAGGCTGCGGCGCGCGGGCAATTGTCAACCACAGGGCGCGCGCACGCTCTGTCAGCGGTCATTGACGCGAGCGTGCGCGCGACCCGTGGTTGACAATTGCCCGCGCGCCGCGTGCGCGTCAGCCTTGCATGCTCTCAACCTATTTGGGCGACCGCCTTCGTCATGGAGGAGATATTACACTTCGGGCCCCGGCGGGTGTCATAGGCTACTTTTCGCCATCGATCGATATCGATTTTATCGATTTTCTGCAAAATTTGAGCTACGGGGCTGGGAGTTGGCATGGGGGGGGGGTAATCGAGCATGCTGATTACGAATATAATAATGACAGGGCCGGGCGGAGCCGGGTAAGTCAACTAGTCATAAATATAGAGCTTTGCATGATTGCAGGAGTCGGTGCCATCCTGAAACGAATTTAAAAGTTTGTTCAAAGGCAGTGTCCAGGCAAGAACTTAATTCCTAATAGAGCTGCTTACCCGGGTTATCCGCAAAGCCGAGTCCGAAAATCCACTTTAGAGAGCGCAAAAATGGCGAGAACATACGTCTTCCAAAGCCTTACGATATGAAACTGGATGGCTCCCGCCAATGCAGAGACGTAGTGTCGCTCGGAATCTTACGACATTGACTGTGGCGCCATGCGTACTCTGCCGCAGAGTAGGAATTCATCGGTAGAGAGCCCCGCCCTCAAGGCGTAGGTTTCCCAACTTTCAACCGGGTTTCTATTCAAAAGCTATGAACTCGCAGTTGCGCAGTGGCATTTGCAAGGGCTCACTTCCGCATAACACCAAAGTCCCAATACCCTCACCTTGCCCAGGCATTGTCTTTAGGTCCAGCTAAAGTCAGTCAATTATTAGAGACTCATTTGATTCGATTATTGCATTTAGGAGTACACAATCCCACAATTTAAAAACCTAGCGACGACTTCTAGTAAGTGGTCGTTGATTGCCGTTCGCAGTGCATATCCATGTAATATACAGGGTGTCCCAAAAAGATGTGCAACCATTTGATCGTCAATAACTCTCTTGCTTTCATGTCTTTCGCCAAGCTTGAGGCCATACTGTAAAGCGAGGTTGAACTTAGATTTATAGCATGGAGCGAATCATCAACCCTTCTTCATCACCGTAGGATTACGGTATGAACTTTCAGCATACAGCGCCAATGTGAAGTAGGCCTTTTAATGAGAAAAATTCCAAAAAATCTGAAAATTTGTGTAGCAAGATTTCCAGGCGTAAATGGTATAATCACACTTCCGACTAATATTGGAAAAACAGTTGTTACACTAAACCTGAAATAACTCATGAAAGAAGCATTACAGTAAAGTGCAAATTTCATGTTCAGAATTAGCGATTTCGATTAGTCCAGTGCAAGAGTTTCTGGCTTAATTGTTTTCCTTTTGAAGCAAAAATCGCTTTCAACTTCCTAAAATCCTTCTCGAAGTTCTTACCGTAATCTTACAGTAATGGAGAGTGGTTGGTGATTCGCGCCATACTGTATACTAGCTGGCTTACCCGGCTCCGCCGTATCCGGACCAAACTTGGCACACATACACTTCGGGCCCCGGCGGGTGTCACAGTCCACTTTTCGTTATCGATCGATGTCGATTTTACCGACTTTTATCGATTTTTTTGCAGAATTCACCTACAGGGCTAGGAGTTGGCACAGGGGGGGGGGGGAAGTGAGCATGGGGATTCCGAATACAATATTAGTTTCCAGAATTATCGATTACTTTTATTGATTTTATCGATTTTTTGTAAATTTTGACATGCGAGGCTGGGATTTTGCACAGGGGGTAATCGAGCATGCTGATTACGAACACAATATTAGTTTTCAGGATCGTCCATTACTTTTATCGATTTTATCGATTTTTTTGTAAAGTTTGACCTGCGGGGCTGGGAGTTTGCACAGGGGGGTAATCGAGCATGCAGATTACGAATACAATATTAGTTTTCAAGATCGTCCATTACTTTTATCGATTTTATCGATTTTTTAAAATTCGAGCTAGGGGGCTGGGATTTGGCACAGGGGTGTAATCGAGCATGCTGATCATCCCCCTTGGGGATGATCAGCATGCTCGATTACCCCCCTGTGCCAACTCCCAGCTCAAACTTTGCAAAAAAAATCGCTAAAATCGATAAAAGTAATCTATAATTTCGAAAACCAATATTGTTTTCGGAATCCCCATGCTCGATTACCCCCCTGTGCGAACTCCCAGCCCCGTAGCTCAAACTTTGCAAAAAAATCGATAAAATCGATAAAAGTAATCGATAATCCTGAAAACCAATATTGTATTCGGAATCCCCATGCTCGATTACCCCCCTGTGCCAACTCCCAGCCCCGTAGCTCAAACTTTGCAAAAAATCGATAAAATCGATAAAAGTAATCGATAATCCTGAAAACCAATATTGTATTCGGAATCCCCATGCTCGATTACCCCCCTGTGCCAACTCCCAGCCCCGTAGGTGAACTCAGCAAAAAAATCGATAAAAATCGATAAAATCGATATCGATCGATGACGAAAAGTAGCCTATGACACCCGCCGGGGCCCGTAGTGTATGTGTGCCAAGTTTGGTCCGGATCGGTTCAGAAAGAATTTTCTATTCGGAACATACGTACAGACAGACAGACAGACATACAGACAGACAAACATACAAACAGACACTCAGCTTTATATATAAGAATCTAAGTTCAGCCTCGCTCTACAGAATGGTACCTCAAGCCTGGGAAAGACCTAAAAGCTAGAGAGTTAGTGGTGATTAGACATTGTGCACATCTTTTTGGGACACCTGCATTGATAATACTTCTTACTTACACAACTTTCTGGGACCTTATTTTTAAAAATTTTATGTACCTTCTTTTTACTCCTAAACAAATTTACTTCTCAGTATGAAAAAAGTTTTACTGACCTTCCTTCTTCAGTGGGGAGTACAGGAGAAGGTCTGTAAACACATTTACCTCCGTCTAAGGGCAGAAACGAAAGGGAGTCTTTTAGTCATTTACACACTGTCAACTGAAAACCTTTTCTTCTTATTATAGATTGGGCATATCATAGGAAAGCTTTCTTCATGTACTTTCCAACAGCGGTAAAATTGTGCTTCTATCTCGTCTGTGAGAATTTCACCAGCATCTAGCACAGCTGCACTCAAAATCGAAATTTCGTTGCTTTAACTTTTTTGGCCACAATTCAGGCACAATTGAACGAATTCTT